TAAAAAAAAAAAAAAAACGAAAAATTTTACGCAAAAATAAGAAAATTTGACAAATAATCTATTTATTTATCTATTCAATCTTATCTATCTATCTTTTTATCTAATCTTATCTATCAACATCTACCTAATCTGTATACCTAATCTTATCTATATCTATTTACCTGCAATTAATCATCTTCTAATATTAAGCTATTTTTGTCTGAACTAATTTAATCATATGTTGTCATCAAAGAAATTGTAGCAAGAGAATGAAGAAGAAAAATTGTTATCTAAAAGATTAATCCTCATTAATTAATTTTATTTATGATAGGACTATTGATAAGACTATTGATTCGCTGAGAACTTAATTAATTTGGTAATTAAACTTAAAATTACATTTCTTTATTTTCTTTCTTGCTTTTTTTTCCTTTTTACAAGTTTGAAAATGATTGAATTAATTAAATGAATGACACCTTGGAAGCTTTACTTAAAGTTTGTAAGACTAATGGACCAATAGTATCAACGGAATCTGTTATAATGGTAGGAGAATTATTTTCCGTTGTAAGAGTATGCGTATTAGCTGATGTTGACGTTACTGTCGTCATTGCTATTGTTCTAAAAACAAAAATTAATTAATTATTTTAATTTGCTGAAAATTTGTGGACAGAATTAACTCTTTGCATTGATGAAACATCAAAATTGTTGTTAAATTTGTAACAAATAAAATTTTTACTATAAACTTCACTTCAAATAGCTATGGTAATTTTTTGAATAATGGATTTTAATTTTAAACAAATTTTTGTTTTTTTTTGGTCTTTTGAATTATTTTGCAATTTCAAAATTTAAAATTTTTCTTTTTGACATTTAAAATTTTTTATATAAGAGAATATTTCTTTTATAAAAATAAAAACAAAAGCAAGCGTAAATATTTTTATTTTTAAATTTTAAATATATTTTAAGAAATAAAAAATAATTATTCTTTCATTTGATTTTACTTACGAATCAACTCTTAAGCTGCCGTATTGCTTGTTACGTGATATACGTGAAATAACATAATTAATGCATGAAGGCCGATTAGCTAAAAAATTTGATGAATTTGGGAAATGAATTCAGCAATCAAATTAAAATTGCAAATAAATTTCCAATTCATTAGTTTTTGCGTTAATGTAATTGCATCAATTGAACAATCAGTAGTTCACTTTTAATCGTTTTTTTAAATTTGTTTAAGTTTTAATTGTTTTGTTTACAAGAAAAAAAAATGTTTTCATTGCGTTCATTTTTATCTTTTCCTTTAGATTAACAAAATGAATGCAATTACTTCATTTGATTGATTTAAATGTTGCATTAAAATTTTAAGATAGAAAATGAAAATAAATTTGAAAAACAATTAATGTAATTAATTGTTGTAATGTAATTAATTAATTAATAATTTTGTCATTTCAAACGAAAAAAAATCTTGCTTTGTGATCAAATCAATCTAACAATTTCTAATGATTCAATTATGAATAGCTATTGATCATATTATTCATGATTGCATTTTTTATTTTAATTTTATCATTCATTAAAATTATTAATTTCATAAACCATTTTGGAAAATTATATATTTTTTTCTTGTATATGATAATGTTTAAATTTATCATATCATATCATTTTATGATTATATCATTCTAGCTGCAACATTCATATAATTTAACAACAATATTTCAGATAATTTCATTTCATTTCTACACTTTCCATACAATATGACATTTGCAGTATCTTTAACAATTTACCAATGAATAATTAAAGTAAATATTTAAAATTAATATTTACACGTAAAATAAAAAATTTAACAAAAAAAAAATTTAAGCTTACCATTTTGTCGTTGCATTGAATTAAATTTACAAATGACAAACATATATGAAAATGTAATAATTGCGGTGGGTATCCAAAAAACAAGCAATAAATGTGTTATATTATACATTTTCTCCAATCGAAGAACCTAAAAATATTTGTAAAAAATAATATGAAAATATTTAATTTTAATTCTTTTATCAAAATGAAATTTATTTTGTTAATGTCATTTTGTCCTTTATTATCCTTTGAAATATTATTTAGATCTCCACTATAAAATTAAATTCATTTTTTGAATTTCTCCTTTAAAAGTAAAAGGATTGCTGATGTATTAATAGATAATAATTACTGATAATACACCTGTTGGAAATCAGCCGTTAGCAGATCTTTTTCTTCATCCGTTTCAGCTACTGTCATTTGAATGCCATATTTGTATGCATAAATTGTCCATATGGGTGTACATTGGCTAGAAGAATTTGAGAAGAAAAAATGAAATGTAAATTTAAAATTAATTGAATGATAAATTAAAAATCATTAGAAATTTTAGACAAATTGCGTGAAAATAATTTGTTCCAAATATTTCACAAATAAAACAAAGAATTATTCTTGTTATTATAGCTGATATTATATGTCTTTTTTAAAATGTCAAACTTGAACGGGAGGACGAAAATAAGTGTGTCATTTGAATCTGAAGTTGTAGGTCATAAGTATCAGTACTTTTGGGTAGTAAATGTTTCATAAATGCTTCAATGTTGCAGTTGTAATTTTTTAAATTTTATATAGTTCTGATGAAGAGTGATGACGAAAGGAATGAATTCTAAGTTATGCGGCAAAGAGTGCCGCAGTTTTTGCGATAAAGGGAGGAACGTAAATTATGATAAAAGATAAACCGCAAGCTATGCCGCAAAGACGGAAGTATAAGTTATGTGGTAAAAAGTAAGATGCAAGTTATGCGACAAAGAGTGCCGCAGTTTTTGCGATAAAGGGAGGAACGCAAATTATGATAAAAGGATAAACCGCAAGCTATGCCGCAAAGACGGAAGTGTAAGTTATGCGGTAGAAAGTAAGGTGCAAGTTATGGGACAAAGAGTGCCGCAGTTTTTGCGATAAAGGAAGAACCGTAAATTATGACAAAAAGATGAACCGCAAGCTATGCCGCAAAGGCGGGAGTATAAGTTATGCGATAGTAAGATGCAATTTATGTGACGAAGAGTGCCGCAATTCTTGTGATAAAAAAGAGAAGCAAATTAGTAAAAATTTCAAAAATAATTTACCGAAATTCGATGCTTTCATTTGGTTGATATACACGAAATATGAATATTTGTGGCACCGAAAAAATAGTCGCAGCTATATATGACGTCGCAAGCATATATTTTACCCAGCAAAATGCTAATTTTGATGCTTTTATATTGCTACAATAATAATATGTAAATATCTTTATATTTCAAAATAATGAAAGTTTTAAAAATTTATGCTAACAAAAAAAAAAGAAAGGTACCAGTATTTGATAAGTCAACTAAACTGTTTGTGAAATAATTTTCATAATAAAAAATTTTGGTGGAGAGAAAGAAAAAGGAGTTAATACAATTATTGAAAGTTTTCTAATTAAAAAAATTTCAATTTTTCAATTAATTTTTGAAAATATCATTTTTTTAAATTTTAATTACAAGTGTATTTAAAAAAATCAAAAATTTGAAAATTTCAGTTTTTCAAACTATTCATTATTAATTAAATGCTGTAAGCATGAAATTGTTGGTAAATGATGTATGTCTTAAATTTTCAATTATTTATTTGCTTTTTTTTTTTGCAAAATTCAGATTTAAACGAAATGAAAGACTAGAAGAAGTAAATTGTTTGGTAAATTAAACAAAGACAAAATTAATTAAATATTCTTAAGAATAATTGTTATTCGAAAGTTACCCGAAAGATGTGTTAATAAGTTTGAAATTTCATAAATTTTCAAAAATTTTAAATTATTATTTCAATGTCTAAAAGGCACTCAGTTCAAGAAAAACGAAAATTTACAGTAAAAAAAAAAAAGAAATTTTCGTTTTAACATCATATTGAATTGGGAAAAAAGTTTTAAAAATTGAATAAAAAAGAAATCCTCGAGCATTCGAGTAAATTCATTTAGAAATGTAATGTCATTCGCGAGATTTTGATTTTATTTTTACTTAGTTTTTTTTTGTCGTTAAATTTGCTCTTTGAAATTCTAAAAATTTCACACTTTCACTTTTACTGAAATAAATGACAATGCTAAATTGTCTTATGGCATATTTTTTTTATATCCCGCGACAATTTCTCAGTAAAAAAAAAGATGCGAAATTAGGGAACAAAAGTGACAGAAATTTTTCTAATTTTCAAAATTTATAACCTAAAATTTGATTTTATGAATAAAATTATCGCAAAATAATTGATGACATCAAATAATTAATGAAATTAATTGAAGTCAAAGATAGAGCACAGGAAAAAAAAAAAGACAAAATAAGACAAGAAGAATCTGAGCTAACTTTATTCGATATGCTCCTTGCGCTCGATCAATCGCTATTACAACAACAACAAATGAATTTAAATAAAAATTAAATGTGTGAAAAAATTTGCATATGCGACATAAAGCATCACCACCATACCACTGAAAATTCATTGATAATTTAGGACAATTTATATAATTAAATTTCATTAAATTTCAGTTTGAAGGCTACGAAAATCACTTCTGTATTAAATTTATATTCTTGTTCAGAAGCTATCAAATTTGATTTGATCTTCACTGATACAAAATTAAATTGTTTGTCCGAAATGTAAATGAAATCTTCAAAATTTCGCTAATGTATTTAAAAATTAAAATTATTGAAAAAAATCATAAAATGAATCATTGATATCATAAGGCAAACGTAATATAATTATATCAAATTGTTAAAAAGCAATTGAAAAATTCGGCAATAATAACTCAATTCAAATAAAAAATAAAATGCGTTTTAATCAATAAAAGAAATGAATTTAGAATAAATTTAAAAACTTCTATGTATGACCCTTATTTGTTTTTTTGTGGAAAATGTTCATTTGTGATAATTAGAAATAACATTTGCTCTAAATAATTTAAATTTACAATTAATTACTTTTATATCACCTTTAAAGAGTAATAAGAAAGAATTAAAAAATACAAAAAATTCTTTTGCCTTACAAATAATCCGCTTATAATAATTTAAAATTGGAAATAATTGCTATCATAAATGATTTAAATTTACACTAATTATATAAATTATCTTTAATTTGTAAAAAAAAAATGAGTAGTTTTAAAATATTTGTATTATTCAAAAAAAAAATAAATAAATAAATAAATAATCAATAAAAGAAAAAGGAATGAAAAAGTACTTGAAATGTTATCATCCAAATGATTTGTGATGGTATATAAATGAAAATTGTTAATAAATCAGCGATATTCAAATGTAGTCTAAGTGAAATTATTTGATTTCGTTGCTTTCGTCCATTCACATACAAACGAAATGTTCGTCCAAAGCAAATTAAATTTAATGGTCCACCAATACAAAGACATAATAAATATATTATTATTTCAACCTGCAATTATATAATTACTAATGTTATATAAATAAAAAATTAAATTTAAATGGAAGAAATGAAATGAATAAAATTATTTAAAATTCTACGTATATATTCATCTTGGCAAAAAAAAAGAAATTGAATAGAGGACAAAATAAATATATTATTATTTTCAACCTGTAATTGTATAATCAAATAATAAATATATTATTATTTTCAACCTGCAATTGTATAATTAAGTAATAAATATAGCATTATTTTAATCTGTAATTGTACAGTAACATAATAAATAACCTGTAATTAATATATCATTATTTTCAACCCATAATTGTATGACTAAATAATAAATATATCATTATTACAACCTGTAATTGTATAATTAAATAATAAATATATTATTATTTTCAACCCATAATTGCATGACTAAATAATAAATATATCATTATTATAACCTGTAATTGTATAATTAAATAATAAATATATTATTATTTTCAACCTATAATTGTATAATTAAATAATAAATATAGCATTATTTCAACCTGTAACATGTACAATTACATAATAAATAACTTGTAATTATATGATTACTAGCATTTAAAAATACAAAACAGAAAAAATTAAAAGAGTAAAATTATTTAAAATTGTATATGTCATCCCGATATAATCATCCCGACGATGAATAAAAGAAAATTGAATGGAGATAGGAAGAAAAGTACAAAGTAATTAATTCCATTAAAGTTAACAAATCGGAATGGAAAAATTGTTAACGGATTTGTATGTAAAAATGCGCACAAACTAATTGCAGTAAACCTAAAATTGGGAAGCGGAATGGTTCAACAGATGGCTTTTTCAAAATTTTCATTATTCCGAAAAGCATCTTTCATTTATGTTTTATTCCATTTTAAATAGTCAAATAATTTGGATTGAAATTTTCGAAAATAAAAATTTTTTATTGCAAATTAAAACTTATAAATTATAAAAAGAGAAAAAGTTTATTTTATTCATTTATTTTTTTCTTTCAATGTTAAATATTTCACTCGTGATTTTTTTTTTCATTTATTACTGTATATTATTACTGTAACAATTATCCTCATCATGCTGTATTATGCAAGAAAAATAAATAAATAAATGATAAATTTAAAAAAAAAAGAGAAAAAAGAGTAAAACGTACAAATTCTGCTGGTAATAAACGATTTAGAGATTCAAAATCGATATACTGATATTGTGTATCAAATAGTACCGTATCATTATCAATTGTTGACATCAGGTAATAGCAAGAAATTATTAACTATTACAATTTCTGCAATTATTAAAATTTTATTTCATTTGATTTAATTGAATTGAAATGAATTTTGACACAATCAATGCAGATATGAGACCTGAAAATAAAAACAAAAAAAAAAAAAAAGAATGGTGTAAATTTTATACTTATATTAGATTAAAATGTTTCAGAATTAAATAAAAATTTTAATTTATTAAATAAATTTCTTCGTCATCTTTTCCAGCATTTTTCCTGCTACGCAAATGAATTCGGAAATATTGATGGAAGCCCTAGCTAGAGTTCTCTTTTCTGGTTAAGGAACGAACTCCTTGGAATCGGTTTAGCCGGAGATAGGGATGTTTTTTTCCGTAAAACATCACGCTTCCTTAGTGTAAAATCCGTTTTTCCGACTTATTTACGCTATTTTACTCGATCATATGCTTGATCGATACATACGCCAATAGCCAGCCATCATATGATTGTTTCATATGTCAGATCAACTATTGCATCAGGAGATCTATAGATTCACTTTTCTGGAACGTCAAGATTGATGACAATCTTGCATTACAGAATCACTGCTAGCTCAAATCACTACTAT